ATCATCTTTTAACGAGTTTTCTTCGTCCGAGACGCGCGCGGCGCGCTCGCTGGAAATGCGAACGCGCGCTTGCGGCACGGCGAGGATAACTGCGTTTACTTCTGTACCGAGTTTCACGCGTCTCACGATAATCTTGGTAATCGCGCCTTTTAATGGACGTGGCGGATGAATTTGCGTTTAATGGATTCGCGGGTGCCTCTTTAATTTTCAAAGGACCCCACGCGCGCTCTGCACGCCGCAATTTCTAGCACTTACCTTCGCGATAAATGCAACGCGGACGCGCGCGACCGCTCTCTCTCTAGCTCTCACCGGGTCCGTAGAACGTATCCCGAATGGTTGTACGGCGGGAATTTAGTAAAGAAATATACCCAATTATTACTGCGCGTTACAGTTATTAATACCACTTGCTCGAATTACGACGATAATGAGTTTAATGTGCTTAATTTTTCATCGCGTAGGCGAGCGTACTCGGCGAATGTATCAAATTCTGCATAACAGAGCATCGCTATTCTTCATTAATTTGGACACTCAGCACATTTGTTGTCCTTAATAAACTCGATATTTTTTTTACCAGAAAATAATGCGATAGAAATCGTATTATCATTTTTATCGGTTGGCTTTAGGTACATGTGATATGTACTAATATTAACAAAAATATGTGCATGCGTTCAAATGATATGATAACATCGTGATATTTTCCTTCTGTTTTCGCGCGATGTTATCGCGTCGCGATAGTGCGCGGCTTCGGCCGAAGGGACATTAGTTTGGGCATCCGTGCGAAAACTAATTAGTGAACGCTAATTAGCTGCCTAATGTCCCGGCTAGCCGGGCCACTCGGTAATGGTTAAGGAACTTCCGCACGCTGGAGGTAACGTAAATTCGTTATGCTGCATGTGCACAGTTTAAACTTTCCACGCACGTTTGCGACAAACGAAAACTACGAGAACTGCCCACCCCGCGTCTTTCGCGCGAGATGCCCTTCCTCTACCCCCTCACCTCCGCCGCACTCCTTAAGAGAGAGAGAGAGATTCCTTTTTCTCTCACTGCCCCGCTAACGTCAATGAGAAACGACTTGACCGAGTACGTGACGGCTGCGAAATTGATTCACGGGTGAAAAGGCTATATTGCCTTACCGGTGCCGAGGGAGGAAGGACACAATGTCGAAACTTGGGTAACAGTTGAAATCGCGGGAACGACATACGATATACCGTTCGCGGAGGATTGTTTCGTGAAATTTTCGAAATTTCGCTATTGTGAGAATTTTGAGGAGTATCGTCTTCTCGCAACGTTATTTCTTTTCCGCATTCGACGGCAATTGATTCCCGTCTCGCGTTTCCTCTCACGTATCTCTACGTTCCATTCATTTGAGTTATTTTCCTTTCCAGAGAGAACGAAGAGAGTTTTCAAAAACGCGCGGAAGTGAATTGCGCTCGTTGCGGAAAACAGTATCTTTAATTAAATTCGGGCTCCGCGCGATGTGAGAACAAAAATTAAATGCAAGACTTCACGATACGGCGGGTGACTTTTGTAAGTATGGCTGCTGCGCGGGAAAAATTTGTGCCGAATAAATTAAATTATAAAAGCTCCAACGAGGAACGCGGTATTTCATTTTGCGAACAATTGATCGCAATGATGATTCGCTTAACTTGCTCCGTTAACCCGAATCGTACGATACAGGATTTTCCAATCGATTGAGAGCGATTGAGAACGCTTCTGGCCAATGGCGAAAGAGGATGGAAACGATCGCGTTTACTGGCCCAGATGTGTCGACGGTAGACAAACGTCGCGCGCTGGTCGTTTCGGATGCAAATGATTCATTCGTCTGTCGGCGGCACTCGCCGTAAGTTGACGGCCATTCAATCGCGGTAACGAGAGCAAATTGCGAAGCACAGTGCGATACTCGTTGCTCCCTCTTTCGTGAAATGAACATTCGCGATCCGTTTGAGCCGATACTCGACAACGGTTTAATGAGAAGACTAGAGATCCGGAGATCCGGATGTAAATAACTCATTTATCGATCTGGGGAATTATTTAAGCTGTTTTAACGAGAGTACCGCCTCGGGTGGTACTTCGGGGCCGTCTGTGTTTGGTTATCAAATGCCGGCGGAGATCTGGAAGAAAAAAAGGGAGAAGAAGAAAGCGAAAGAAGCAAATGAAAAGATAAAACTTTCATGTCCTTTATTGTCCTTCTAGATGGCAAGGAAGTAAAGTAGAAGATAGAAAGATAATGAAGAACCTGAGATAAAAGGAATATTACCGCGAAAAAAGTGGCCGGCAACAAAGACAATTTTTTGGCCGTAACGTCAGCGAATGGCACGCAATGCTCGTATTCGTAGCGAATCATTTTCTGCCTTTTGTACACGTCAGATGACAAGAGCTTCTCCGACGATCGTCACGTGAGCGATAACAGAAATGACGGAAGCGAAGTGGATGGTTAAAGAAATCATTAAAGTGTCGTTTGCTCCTCGTATAATTAAGAAGATTCCAGTTAAGAACTAAAACCTGAGAATGACATTGATCGGAACTGGTATTACTAATCGAAAAACCAGTATTTTTTCAATTTTTAAATGTCGATTTTTATAATATACCTTTAAAAATTTTTAAACAATTTTAAAGAAAATATCTTTTTAAATAGATATGACAAAATATTCTCTCTTTTTTTTAATAGTAAAGCGAAGAATTTTTGTAATAATGAAAGAATAACGTGCAAACTAAAATTACGAAATAAAATTGCGGGACGATTCTATTGTTTTACGAGGAAATAACAGACATGATTTTGACCGCGTAATATTGATGTAAGCACCTCTGGAATTTTCTTCAATTTTCCGCGGCGCACTCGCAAATTTTGACGATCTTTACACGTCGTTTCTCACGGTAAACGTCGAACCGTTTAAAAATCGAGTCTTCAAGTCAAACGATGTAAGCCCTCGGCGGCGTCAATCGCGATAGCGGAAAGCAGCGACGCGGTCCGGAAACGAAGGGAGGGACGAAAGACGAAGGGAAACGTTTAAAAGAGGTTCCGCGAAAATGGAGGTCGTTCTCTTTTCAGGCAATCGACGCGAATCGCGCGGTGGTAGGCGAAACGACGAAAAGGACGCAACACACTGGGAGAAGAATCTTTCGCTCCCGAGAAGGCTCAATTTGTCGCCACAATTTCACGGGCATCGCGTGCCAAGAATGCCGCTGAAAGGTCGACTATTGTTTTTCGATCCGCTCCACGTCGCCTTCGGCGTCTTTATTAAATGGACAAAGACGGAGAGGAAGCTCTACCGTCACGTCGGTCAATTGCTCGGACGTAATTTATCCCCCGTTTCGGATTATCTTGTCGCTATATATATTGCATACCTATTCTGCCCCTAACACCTATGCATTCACGCGGGACGAGAACAAGTGCGGGTAATTGGGCAGCCATTCACCTCTGGCTATTCTAAAATTATCTTTAGGCATCTTTCTCTTGAAACTAGTGGAAAGGACGAAAATTGCAGGATTAACACCCCATTGGAAGAAAATTCGGAAAATCTCCCTTTTCGTAATGAAAGAGTAAGGAGAGATTTTATATACAGAATCTTCTTTCAGTTTTTCCATGAATTTTAAATCAATATTGCTATTAAAATAAAAGTGAAAATTATATCTGTTTAATTATCGCTATAATAAAATAACGAAGAGAGGGAGAATTAGAAATATTTCTTTTGGGAAGAAATTGAGAGACGTAATAGAATTTGATGAAAAAAAATGATAGGTAGAGGAAGAGAGAAAAAACTGGAAGTAAAGATAAAGAATCAGGGTTTTTTTTAACATGGGGAAACCCTCATGGGTTCTCCGCTCCTCGGGAAAAGTGCAGGGGGTATGTCGAACTCTTACCGACTAAAACTTCACGGGCGTCCAGCCTCTGCGCATTACTAGGGGCTGCTCAGAGAACGCTCATCGCATAAATTCCTGGGCAACCCCCGCGCCTGCCAACGGGCTCTTCCTTTGAGGGTTGGGACCTAGTCTAGCCCCCACCCCTCCCGGACCAGTTAACTCCTGGCCTTGCCTGGAGCAGACAGCTCCCGGGCGGGAAAGGAGATACCAGCCCCCTCCCGCCCCACCCCCGCGGGGGCAGAGGTCCGGGACATGTCATCCGCATGTCCCGCACCCTCCACAAGAATCAGGGTTTGACAAGATGGGCCCAACCCAATAAAACCCACCAAGCACAATTGAGAAAATTGGAAAAAAAAAGGGGGGCTGATTAAAGTTATTTTTTTTATTTTTTGACGTATTTTTCATATTACGCGGTCTTAATATTAGCACAATGTAGCACAAACCTAGCACAATTCAGCATAACTCTCGAAATAAATTAATTCTAAAAGTGGAGGGCTAACTCTGTATAGGCCTTTTCGCGCCCAGTCATCCCACCCCTTCGCGAAAATTAAGCGGATTCTTAGCGCCTCGAGATATGGCCGCGACGGGCGAGAGATATCAATATATGTGCAAGCTTTAACTCGGTTTTCCGAGTGTGGGAGCACTTCAAAAGAATCCGCATATCTTGTGGTTCAATGATTTCTCCTCAATCGCATACAAAGCGAATCTCTCGCATGGAAACTCCCAGTCATCCGGAATTGATTCCGTCGGTACTTCCTTCGAGCGAACCTGTTTTCTGCGAAAATAATGTGAGTATAATACCGAACGACCCCTCTTGTGCAACGGTTATTGCATTTCATTTCGGCTGCGGACTTTTTTGCTCTCCTTTGAACGATCGTTCGGAAAAATACGGGATACAATCTCGGTATCTTCAACAACGATGAAAATTACAGAAAGAATTCTCTTATTGTTGCTTTTTGTTATAATAGCGAGATAAAAAAACATCAATACAAATCATCTTCACCACACAGATATCCTTTTTTTGCGATTTAAGACAAAACATTCGCGTAGATAGAGCAGCATAAACGAAGAATATGTTTCCAAAATAAAAAGATCGAAAATTGAAAATATTGTGCATGCGATTCTCCTTTTTATTGCAGAGCCCGTGACGGAAATAGCCGGCGGTCCCGAGCTGTTCATCAACAAGGACAGCACGATAAATCTAACATGCTACGTGAGACACGCGCCCGAACCGCCGTCGACGATAATTTGGAGTCATAATCACCAGGTAAGCGTCTTTTACGACGATCCGCGAATAAAAGTCCCTGTCCACTTGCTGAAAATCAACCCCGTCACGCTGCCACGAAGTCGTGAAAGATGCCTTCAACCGACACCCATCTGAATTTCAAAACTGACGCTTGGTTTTGCGAGCGGATATCGCAGATACCGGTACAAACAGAAACATTTTTCATGTTCCTCGTGACTGTTAAAAAAAAAGCCTGCAGCTGTGTACGCGCTTCTATCGGCCTGGCGCGTATATCGATTATCGCTGGTAGCGTGCTTTCGTTCGTTCGTGCGATATTTATGGAAGACGCGCCAACAGCGGCTTTGCTTTCCCGGCGAGATGATGCATTTCCGTTCGAGCGTGGCGGAAAGCATAATTAAGAGATTCGTGTTTTCACGACACCTCTTTTTATAAACGCAACTATTCTCATTTAAAAGCACGATGTGACGTAAGTATATTTCCATTAAATGCAACAAAGTTTCTCGCTCAATACCGCGAGACAATTCATTTGTTTAGGAACATTGCAAAAGTTTCTCGGGAAGTGTGTACGTCTGCGTTATTAATAACAACCAGACGAATTGCTCTCATAATCGTTATGTCAGTTTCATTTGAGTTTAAGAATCTGCACGAATTGCACTTATTTATGTGAACGCGCGTACAGCCGGAATAACTAAGACACGGTTGCATGGACGTCGCTTTAAGTTATAATTTCGGGGAAACTTGTCCCGAAATGCTTTCTGCCATTCAACAAAGACACCTACAGTCGACACTTTCGCCTCTTCCACTTGCCACAAGTGCCTCGAGCCCCGTTTAGTCACGTCACGGACAGACGATATGACATCTGTCTCAGTCTTCTCCCGCGAGTAAGCAATTAACTTTCAGATCGATTAATTACGCGTGCTTGTATCGCTATTGTCCGCGACAATTCATCTTAAATATCAACTGAATAGATATATAGAAAAGTGATGAATGATATCGGAGCACTAATTGAAATCCTTCATTAATTTAAATTTGTCTCTTGATTGAATTTTCATTATTTAAATGTATATTCAATTGTTAATATTTATTTCAAAACTTTATACTGTATGGTTCTTTTCAGCCGAAATTATTATTAATTTTTCTTTCGCCAACGTATGCATGCATGACTGTGCATTCATAAATTGAACAATTGCGACCGCAATTTCTGTCGGTATTAATTAAATATGATCAAATATGATTAATTTAAAGGCGTAATAAATTCTGCTCTCTAACAAAACTTATAAAACAAACATGTACTAATAATAATTTGTATAACCGGTTAGGTCATTAATTACCAATTATTGCAAAATTTAGCACCTGCAGTTATAATAAAATTATAAATAAAATTTGAAAATAGAATTGTTACAATTGTGCATTGTCCTGAATAACATCGAAAATGTAAAAAAGCTATAATTTATTTCTGAAACGTTATGTTCTCAGTATTTATATTATATTTAAATAAGATCTGTCCACATTGTAATCAATATGAATTCGTCTTACTGCTTGAACAATTGTTTATTAAAAAATTAAGGTTTGCCTAAATATTTAAAATTTAGAAAGAAGATACGAAACCCAAAGCATATTGCACCAGTCGTAATTCGTGTTTTTGATATTTTCATGTATAATTACGATCGCGTGATAAAAGTATATGTATTTTATGTCGGAACAGCGAGGTCAGGAAATGAATGTAGCGCCTAAGAAAAAAAATCCTAGGAAAAAGGATTTCTGTCATTGCGGGGAACACGTTCCGTCGACACTTCCTGCTTCTTCCTTTCCCGCAGAGTGGCCCCATCCGTACTCGGTCACGTCAGAGGCAAGTAACCCGACGTGCTTTTTATATCCTTTTTCCGCAGGCGATTAACTTCGACTCGCCGAGGGGTGGCATCAGCCTGGTAACGGAAAAGGGACCCGTGACTTCGAGCCGTTTACTCATTCAGAAGGCGATCGAGAGAGACTCCGGCCTTTACACGTGCTCACCCAATAACACTCATCCTTACAGCGTACGGGTCCACATAGTCAATGGTAAAAGAAAAATGCCAATTTCGCTTAGAACGGACCCTACGTGCGGGCATCCGCACGTTACTCGTTTGAATTCGAGTGAGACGTTCTTTTAAAAGGACGGGGGCTCACTAAAAAGAAAAACCCCGCAATGTGTATATCGAACAAATAGACACGCTCGAAAATCCAGTAACAATTCTAATTTTTATTAGAATTTATAATAAATAATTTTTATTTCCGCCGTTCACTATGCAGGGCAAATATAAAAACACATACGTTCTACGTAAAAATAATGTAAGGTTAAATTTATCGCGGAGAAATTATATCGTTCAGTTAATTAATAATCACTTTATGGTTGTCTAAGAAAATCAACCACAGGTACGCGTTTTTCTAGAATAAGAGACTATTCAAGGAAGAGCGGTTTCTAGAGTACCAAATACTTTTTTTCTTTAAGTCGGAAAAGAGTCTCGGCAAAAATGCCTAGCTTGTAAACGTCAAGTGGGGCCTCTTCGGCCAAAGCGAGAGCTCGCGCTCAGCTCCACGGAAATGTCGCTCTAAATACCACCTGCTAAGAGCCGACCGAGCGAAAACGGCATTATAGCGTGGCGTTTGTTTCAGAAGAACACCCAGCGGCAATGCATCACGGTAAAGGCGACAGAATGGCCGCGACGCTGCTTCCGGTCGTCCTACTTCTTCGGATGATATTCTAGCCGACGTTATGCACTCCGGGTTGAATGCGCGCGAACTTAAGCACGGTCGCCTAACTCCCACGAAAACCATCGAGAGCGGAGAGGTTCTGTTTCGCGGTTTTGTCTCCGGGGATTCAACTCGGCTGCGACGCGCATTCGACACGTTCGCCTCGCGAAAGTAACGGAATCTCATCGTAGATTTGCGCCGCGACGCGACGACGTCGCGTGTCTCCCATTACGTCGTTAGAGCGTTAGACTGATTGGAACACGCATCCGCGTTACGGAAAATGCAATTGTCACATCGTCGCCCGGAAAACGTGAGTTTAAAATAAATATTATTAGACTAGATGGTGTGTATTGGAGGCAAATGATGATTGCGAATAATAACTATTGAATATATATTCAGTTATGTATAATTACGCGGTTAAAAAAAAAGAGAAAAAAAATTTAGCGGCCAAAAATTTGATACAAATTAAAAATATTTTTTATTAGGAAATGTTACATGTATCATCGATATTTCTTGATCGTCGATTCCGCTTATACGTAATGGACAAGTGAGAACTTGTCCATAATCATTTTTAACATTTGATTAGTCGAATGAACTCACTGTGAACTTTCACGGCACTTTCAAGGCCGTCGTCATTTGGCGCAAAAGAATAACGTCTGGATTCTTGCCCCACTACGGAAACAAGTACGAACTCTTTTTCTGTTCCGGCAAAGAGTCCGCAAGTCCGTTTCCGCCGTCTGGAATCTTTCCTCACTTTCCGAAATAAGAATCGTCTGCGAGAGAACATTTTCGCAAATGCCATACTAATATAACGCGATCCAGCAAACGCATTTATGAATTTTAATATTTATTCCTAAATTCTAATTTATTTACAAAAGAAAAATAATGACAATATGAGGAAATTGTAAGAACTGAAAAAATTTAATCGCTTTATTAATATTTTCCGATACTAAATAAATTAAAAAAAAAACATTTTCTCGCATAATGTTCAAAGAACTTCGGAAAAAACAAATTGATTCGCAGAATTAAACGCAACACGGCGTAAAATTGCGTATCGATAAAATGTGAAATTTTCAAAAAAAAAAAACAAAGTAGGAGAAACACACGCACTGATATATCGGGGTCTCATTATTAGTACATTATTATTTATCGTGTTTATCGAAAAATCTTGAGAACAGCGTATTCATTATTGCAGTCATTCAATTATTGATTGTGCTCGGTAGACCGTACGTTCGCTTCACTCGTTGCGACTATCAATGTCTCGGCTGCGACTAATTTCGGATATATCCCGGCGTAATCTCGTTATCGAATTATTGATTGTCGTGCAGGAAACACATCGAAGGTTTTTCGAAAAAGCAGAATTTTATTAATTACAAATATATCCGAGAGAAGTTACAATGACAGGCGTCACGATGCTCTTTGGAAATTGTATGAAATTCTTTCCAATTGAGTGTAAAAATTTCGACGCATCAATACGAATTATTTTAACAAGGGGACAAATAGAATTAAAAATTATATAGATTCTGGGACTAAAAATTATATCGATTCTCACGCGTGTAAATAACGGATGCTGGAAATATATTGGAAAATTGGATTCATTATTTTTAATTTGCTTTGTTCAATGAGATATATAACATACTGGAGTGAGCCTTGGGATGGTGGGGATGGCCGAACTGTGCAACAGTAGTGCGAGACAATTGTGCAGTTTAGGGACGTCTGCCTCATTTTAATGACGTCATTGAAGTGAGGCAGACGTCCCTAAGCTGCATGGCTGTTACTCTCGCACAGCGGCTACCACGCGTTTTCTTAGGAGAGGCTCATTCCAGTATGTGTATATCTCACTGGCTTTGATCTTCTTTAACAAGATCTAGCTGACATTCCATTTTTGTATAAAATTTATTAAAAGTATCAACAACTATAATTTTATGATATCCTAAAGTAACAATATTAAAACATAAAAAGTTGTGTCGTATTGAAGTGTGTTATACTTTAAGAATCAGGAAAAAAATAAATCTCAGAGAATAAAATTAATATATGAGAAAATGTTTTGAAGATATGTATTGGATTATGTATGGCAAATACATCCGAATATAAACGTGCATCTTGCGTACATATCAGACGATAAAGCTCGCTCAACTTCGGAAGTAAGGATAGACATGCTGACGGTCTGCAAAAATGCATAGTATCTCAGAAACTTGGAAACTTGCGTGCGAGAAAGCAATGGCTCTCATGCAGATACGCAAATATAACGGAGGAGGAGCTCTGCCGGGCTGGGGACGTATCTACAGGGAAAAAGCAGGTTTATTCGCCGAACTTATAATGGCCCGACTTTGAAGCGGATTTTATTCTCGTTACGGTTACCGGTAAAAACGTATTGTTCGAAAGTGCATTAGCTCTCGGGGATACGAACACGTTGCGCCGGGACGAGCCCGCGATTGTTTCGTTTTCCGCCGTAAAAGGGGACTGGCAGTGTGCCTCTGGCAGTGAGCTTGGCAGTGATGTTGCGTCGGAAATGTTACCTCGCTTCTTCAGGACCACTCACGAAAACGGCTTCGATATCCTCGGCGATATCCTTGTCACTTGTCGTTATTATTAGCGCCCAAGACCGAATGTTTCTTCTATCAGTGGGACCATATAATCGGAGCGCGTTGGTCCAATCGCGAATAAGCGTTTAGCAGTTGACGCCGGCGTGCACGTGTAAGAAACGGTCCTATGGTTGCTGTATATATACTATACTCTGTTAGAAACGTGATTCTGAAAATATATATATTTCGGTGCCAGTCTTTCAATTAGTCCGTAACGACGCCGAGATCCCTTGTACTTTGAGGATATCACGTATAATACATACACGGGGATGCGTTTTTATAGATGTTAATATATGTACGCTAAGCAGAGAAAACACGATTGAAAGGGGCGTAGATTAAGTGTTACTTGTCATTCTCTATATAGATATCTTTTTCATATAAGTCTACATTTTCGCCGAATCAGTGTTGCGAATTGTCGGAAAATTTTATTTGCCATTGTACGCATTTAATAAAAGAAGAAAACATATTCAGAGAGGTGTGACGGATTGTGTTACATTAAGTATACTTTTTTGTTTAAGTAGAATCCTTACAATCAGGTCGCTTAGCAATTGTGAATCTTCGGGATATTGTCACAATAACCTCGTTAATCACGATTTTTCTTGTAATTCTTGATTATCCCTGGCGTCAGATTTTAAAGAAGCAATTTTAATTAATACTTGAGTTAACGGACGCTAATTACCTTCCTTTAGGAAGAAAAGGCTCTTTCGCCTTTTGATTCGCTACTTTGTTATACGAACCTTTGTTGCCTTGCTTAAATTTCACTTGTCCCGACCGCAACATCTCTTTTGCTTTTCAAACCCGCAGAGTTTGCATCTCGCGTTTATGTCCACGCAATCGGAAACAATACGTTAATGGTCTGATATTCTTTTTGAGTAATTTAATAATATTGTTGCATTTTAAAGCGAGACGATTAAATAAAAAATAATTAACTGTTCAACAAAAATTATAATTAAGACAATATTTAAAATAAAAGTCATGAAGAAAACAATTCAACGTAGAATAACTTCCACAACATATCGGAGAATCTCAACAATATGCAAAAACGTAAGTATATTGAAATAAGTGTCTACATTTTTCTATTGGATGTAGACACATGCGAATACATTGAACACACTCGTAATATGTTCGACAATCGATATATAAAGTTCAGCTCTGTGTAATTATTTCCATAATTATTATCTTCGTGTAACAAAGCGCAGGCTAGGAGGAAACTTTCCGTTACCAGGCAATAATTTCCATCGCAAATGTAATTATTAACGCTGTCGGGCATTATATACGGTGCAGTTCATTATATGGGAATTAATAAATTTAATGACAGTTCCAGCGTGCGTCATATCGCGGTGCAGCCGGTGGCGACGCATTAATACAGTAGCTCCATCAACAAGGCACGCATCCAATCGGAAAGTCGATAGACTCTGTTATGTGACATGCGATCATACGTTCCGTTTCACAAGCTCTAGATGCAACGCGGTTTTTTTTTTTACATATACATTTCATTTCTGAGACGTATTTTCATTTCCCATGTGTATTTTTTTATGACTGAGCATAAATTTCCAGCGACAATAGAAAACATTCAGTGGCGCAACGTAACGCAGTGGCGGTTCAGTGATTCGAAGTATCAAAAATGTGAGTATTAAATCAATAAATATATATATGTGCGTGTACGTGTATGTGGGTGTGGTATCGATATCACCATTCAATTAATGGATTAAAGTAACTATTTATCTGCAAAATATAAGCTTGCACGAGATTTAAATATTTTACTTTAAGAAGGCAGGTCATACTTAAAGCTGGCTTTGGAATGTTCCTGGAGCGATTTTTTAAAAATGATTTGTCCCATTTCTAGCTTCGCATAGAATAACTCATAAGTGTCACAAACACAATATAATCATTTCGAACAAATACACGCGTTGTCGAAAGGCGTCCTTATGCTCGATAAATCACTCTCTCGGTCACTTAAAAAATTTTATCTACGGCAAAAATTGTTTGGCCCATTTCTACTTTTGCATAATGTTACTTCCAAGTGCCAGACACAAAATAAAAAATGTTCCGATTGAATGTAGTATATATGAGTTACTCTATGCGAAGCTGTAGAAATGAGAAATTATTTTTAAAAATCGCTCCAGGAACGTTTCAAACTTCAACCAGCTCATGTTTAACGTATTTTATAATATTCTGCCAATCCGAATTAACGCTAAATTAAATTACAATAAAACAAAAAACTATGTAAACGCGAAAGTCGCGAGAAAAGCGATTAACAATGAAGTGGAAACTGAAAATACAAAGTTTATAAGTTATGTTCGTTAAATATACATCGATCTGGAAATTTGCTGTAATTTTATTTCTTTCACTGCGATGCACCGGTATAATCTTCCGCAATGGTTTTGATGAGCTAACATGGGTTCGATTAGCGGTACCAGTGGAATGTATCAGCGTAACGTATATGAATTCGGAATAGATACTCGTACAAATAGTACGGTAATTCCGCCAGTTAGTACTTGGTTAATACAATAGGTCAATCGCATACATATACACGAGACATACACATTCCCAGGCTACGATCGACATATATGTATATTGAAATTTCTATATCTATATACGCGTAACTGACGCTGGCAGGCCACAACCACGTGCGTATGTTGCATTGCCGAAGTAATCATGTATATAGCATTGTTATAAGTATTCGTACGAGCGAGCAGACTCTAATGCATCAACTGGAATATGAAGAGGACTGTTGAAATTGTACTGCTCCAATTAATATCTAAAGCAGATAACTCACGGCCTCGCTCACCCGATATTCTATGCGTTAGCAGCTTTCGGTGGAGTAGCATTTCGGAGATATCTCTCTCTTTCTCTCTCCCTCTCTCTTTCTCCCCCCCCCCTTCTCACTCTCTCCCTCGCTCTCTCTCAATAGTGGTTTCACTTCGTGTTATTTCGAGAAACTCATCCGCGGATAACGATAAGCAAATGTTTGTCTCGAAGTTAGTAGCGGCGCCTAATCCGAACCACGAAAATCGTGACAAACGCCTGAAGGAAAATCGATATAAATGTAAATAATGCCCAAAGCACAAGGCTGGTAAGCAATTAGCGCTCTCGTCATCTTACATATTCATTTCGAATTTTACCTTAGCTACTGTAGCAAAAGTAACTGCATCCGTAAACGTGTGGTAGAAAGATCAACATAGTAACTAAAGTAATTGAATAGGGAACATTCTCTTCTCGCGTCTGTGGTGTTACAATTTGTTAAAATTGATTGCGAAAAAAAGAGTAACAGTTTACATCACAAAATATCACATTATGAATTTTTGCTTGGTAATTATT